CTTGGATCAGGAACTATTTAAAGTGTTTTTCATGCAGTAAGCCAGTCTCCTCAACCACCCTAAGTGGGTGCTTTTATTATCATTACTTGACAGGTGAAGAAACCAAGGCCCAAACAGACACTGTATAACTAACTGGCCCCAGGTCACAGCCAGGGCTGGGATTCAAGCAGGCAGGAAGTCTTGCTTCAAAGCCACATGCTTCCCCCTACATACAACTGCCTCTCTCTGGCTCTCCAACTTGAACAGTTGCTGGGAGGTTTACATGTGATAATTGCTTGGCATACAGTAGGAGTACTGTATACATAAATGGAAAATACTTCCTTTGCCACTTCATCTGTGAATAGTGTTGCACATATGGTTCTAAACAACATATTTCTGTCAGAGTTAAGTTCCCATTTGTAGATATTAAATCTAATTCCCAACAAAGGTAAACTCAACTGGACATCCTGGAATATATTTCAACTGCTAATAAGGAAAACGGATGCTTTGTCATCACCTGGCCAGATGGTATTGGCCCTGCTTGACTAATTCTAATCAGCCAAGGCTTTATAGTTGAATGATGCAGAGTAAAAAAAAAAAAAAGCCATAAAAGTTGAACTATGGCTGTGAATCAAAGGGGACTTTGCTTTCCATCTGGGGACTGACTCACAAGCCCTGAAACCATAAAGCAGCAAAAGGAAAGCTCCAACCCTGGCTATTCAGGCAACTTACCCCAGCCTAGCCCTGCAAGCAGCTAAGTTCACCAGATTCAAGGAGTGCATTAAATATGGTCATTTAATGATGGGCTGCAATGAGATTTCTGGCCCTATGCCAATGTTCCATTTTTGGTAACCAGTGTAGGAAGGACCACAGATCTCAGCTGTGCCCAATGTGAACATCCCCAACTAGAGCTCACCTCAACCTCGTCTGGAGGCCACTGTCTTAGTCAGTTCTGGCTGCTGTAACAGAGTACCTTAAACTGGATGGCCTAAACAGCAATTAACTGCTCAAGTTCTGGAAGGTCAGGTTCTTGTTGAATACCTCTTGCTGGTTATGTGCTCATATGTACTTCCTCACTGCACTCAATCTTGTCCCCTTCCTACAATGACATCAATCCCATCATGAGGGTCCCACCCCCAAGACCTCCTCTAATCCCGATGAACTCCCAAGGCCCCACCTCCAAACACCATCACTTTAGGGGTTATGGTTTCAACATATGATTTTAGGGAGGACTACTCAGTCCATGGCAACTACCATATGAGAACTGACATGCTACAGACCACTACCATTCCCTGTGTCTAAATGATATATAGCCCAGGAGTGGCATGGAGGGGCACAAAACTCACTGTTCTCAGCAGAAAAGAAGGAAAATTGGTCTATAAGGGACACAGTTACACCCCACTGACACTCTCAGTGACTGAATGTTTCCTGTCAACTCAGTTTCCCAGTCCAGAGTGGAAATACATAGTTGAGAAACTACCTAGAAAGCTGACATGAGGAAGAAAGGATGGAAGAAGACACTGTGTTTATCACATTTTTCTTCATGTTAAGATACATGTCAAACTCATTATGAAAATTTTAAATACTGGATTACAAGTTGAACAGGGAGCCTGCCCTTCATCTCATCCACTGCCTTTAACCCTGAAAACTTTTCCCACAGTTAATTGCTGTTCATAATTTGGAATGTATGCATTTTCAAAACACAAGATCACACAAGACAATATTGTTATTCCACATGACATTACGCCATGGTTACCTTTCCACATCAGCAGATTACATCAGTCTAACTCTGATTAAGGGCCATGTAACATCCCATAATATGGATCTACCAACATTTTATTTTTCAATTGCACATTGCCAACATTTACTTAACTGTTACCTAGTAACAGAGACAGCTTACTTCGTTTTGTTGGTGCTGTTTTGTTTGTTTTGCTGTTAGAAACATTCAGTGAATATTCTCATATGGATGCTTGGGTATCGCTATTAGATGACTATGCTGGAATTGTTAAAGAGGCTAATCACCAATGTAGCCTCTTTGCTAATGAGGCTAGATTTTATCAAAGCAGCTAATTCCAACATCTGAATCCAAAGGCCACTTCCATTTTCTGAGGAGCTGCTGCTTGGTTTGGGGGAAGGATAAACCCCACAAAATGATTTTCAAAACTTGGGCTGCCTTAGAATTAGCACAAAAACACACAGGCCCAGTTTCTACCAGAACATACAGGGTAGTTTTGCTCTCTTTGTTGATTTGGGATTTTTTTGCACAGCTCCTAGGTGCTGCCCTACACATGTGGTAAAAGCCCTAACCTGATTCCCATTCTCACATGGAGAGGTATGATTTTAGCTCAGGAACAAAGGAATAGATAATGCATTTGCTGTGTGCCCTCTGCTGGTACCACAGAGCAGACTGTACATCAGAACAAAAGCTCTTTTCATGTAAAAGAGGGTGAGAATCTGGGCTCTCATTTCCCAGTGTGGTGAGACTTCCACCCAGTGACTGTCAACCCAGACTACACATGAGAACCACCTAGGGGGCATGGTCACAGGCCTGGGTAACAACACTTTTAAAAAGCTCTCCAGGTGATTCCGTACATAGAGCCAGGGATTGAGAACCTATTCTTTAGGCAAAAAATTGGCCCAGGCACACACAGTCCAGAGACATCTGATGTGAGAGCCCCAAGCCCTCTGGGTACTAAACACTGTCTTGCAGGAGTGCCATATTTGCTTGGATGACTTGCATGCCCCTCATGTAGTTACCATCTGGCAGGACCAAATGACCCACTTCCAGGTTTCATCCCAATCCAGTCTGCTGCTGGGTCTACCACTCCATCACCTCTAAACAAACATTTCATGTTTGCTCTTGCATGCTGAGTTTGCAAAGCACTCAATTTATTATTTATTCTCACACACATCCCATGAGACAGGCAGGATTTCCACTTTACAAATGAAAAACCAAGGTTCAGAGAGACTCAGCTACCTGGCCCAGGACAGAAGTTAAGGTTGAACAAAACCCAAGTCTTCCAACTCCAATCCTATGTTCCCCCTGCCCCACCCTTCTTCCCATTTCACAGCACTTTCTGTTTGCACGAACGGGGCATAGCTTCTTCCAACAGCTGGCTCCTAACAGAACCTGCTGGCCATTACCTACATGAATGTCATATACAAGTGCGGTAAGAATTTGCAGTAAGGCCTCTTTCCTAAACTACATTACTAGCATCAGCATCATGATTTTACTCATTCCAAAAGGCAAGTTTCCCAGGAATCCTGGCAAAGTCTCCAGCTCACAGGTCGCCTTTCTTTAGCCTCACCCACACCTTCAGCCTTCTGTCAGAGACCCAGGTAACCTAAGGTTACCCAGAAGCCCAGTGTCCAGCTATTCACTTAAGTGTGTCCAGCACCCCAAACACCTGTGTGAAACGCTCTCTGTCCACGATGCGTCCATAGCGCAGGGTGAGGTAGGTCTGCTTCCCACTGTACTGCTGGATCCGTACGAAAAGTTCCTGAGGCCGGTCCTGGGTTTCTGTCATAGGGATCACGTGGGCCACTGGGCAGTATGTGTCCTGCCGCCAGCCCCAGAAGGTCAGGTGGGCCACCCGCAACATGGTGCCTGACTCATTCACATATAGGATACCCACTAGCCTCCGGAAGAAATAGCTCATCCAGCACAGCATGGCCAGGGCAAACCCAGCTATCCCACCCACAAGGCACAGGGAGTTGAAAGCCATAAGGCCCTGGGAGTACCAGTAAAAGCTGGGTGGCAGGGCCACCACCATCAGGGCCGGTTTGTGCCACCTTCAGCTGAGACAAGTACCTAAAGATTCTGATGGCATCAAACCGGTAGATCATCTGGAATTTCTCTGTCTCTGTGCCTGGTGGTTTCCCTTCAACGTGAGTGACCTACTCCCCACCCACTTCCTAAAATCCTGCCCATTGCAGCACTGCAGCCTGTAGAGAGGCCTTCCCCACACAGCTGGCACTGGCAACCGCATCACAACTCGGAGGAGAGCAGCCTAGAAGGGAGACAAGAGACCGTTTCTCTCAAAGAACTCGACCATGCTCATCACACAATGAACACCTGCAAAACATCTTACCTGCAGGCTCTGTCCATCTTGTGAGGTCACCATCAGGACAAAGATGGAGGGAAAGCCAGGTGCTTTACCTCATGTGACCTTCACAAAAGCTGTGTGAAATAGTAAAAATCTAAGGCCAGAAAAGGTAAGAAATTTACCCAGGAACACAAAGCCAGAGAGTGGGACAGTGTCTGACTCTCCAACCGGTCCTCCTTCCTGCAGGCACTTCAAGTAGGCACAGGAAGGAGGCACAGCCCTCTGCGTTCATTTAAACAAAAATACGTAGGCAGGTGCCCAGCCCCGGATCCATCAGGCCGGGTGAATATTTCCCCAAACAGTATATGTCCCAGTGGGGTACAAATCCGTTAGTTATGTAGCACAGTAACTTTCGTAATCTCTGCTTGCTTAGAGCGTCATCTGGGTGCTGAAGGGAAATGGTGATTTCTTAGCCCTGTTAGGGGGAGCGGGAAGACTGGAGGGGGAGAGGGGGGTGAAGGAGCCAAACGGAAGCACAAGGATTTTAGTGGAAGCACAGTCCCACACCTTGACTACTGCAGTGAACAGGTCTGGATTCCAATCCCGACTCCTAGTCACTAGCTCTGGATCCGTGGGCAACTTACCCCCCCCCACTTTAGGCCACGGTTTCTTCATCTTTCAAACGGGGATTCAGAATATACTGAAAGAGATGACGGTTTTAAAGCCCTCAAGAGCACTTGACGGACCTGAAATGAATGCTCTGTGAACTTTAGTATCGCTGTTGATCGCGCACGTGGCCTGCGCGCACCGGAAGCCCGGGAATAACAAATCATAACCCACTCCGGAGGTAGCTCCCGCGCGTTCCCCGAGTCACAATGTCAGGCTTCGGCCTGCCGGCCCCAGGCCTGACCCAAATCCCAACCCCGACCCGAAAAGCGCGTCACCTCCCTCAGTCTCCACCACCCACCTGCTTACCATGGCCCCGCACTGTCTACCGAATCCTGTCAGCGAGCGGAAGATCCACCACCGCTTGCTCCGCCTTACGGAACTGCGTGGGGCACGTTGCATTCTGGGATTTGTGGTGCACAGAGAGTTGCTGACGCATTGGACCCTGTGGGAGTGGATTCTTCTTCTCCTCCCGACGTGCCCTGCAGCACCAGTGCTAAACCCGGAAGTTCCGGACCCAGTTCCTGGTGCCAGCCGGTCACCTCAGGTGAAGCGTGGGATCTGGCGACATGGCTCCTTCCCCCCCAGCGCTGTGTCTCTTCGACGTGGACGGGACCCTGACAGTCCCGCGGCAGGTAGGCGGCGCCCGGCAGGCTGGAGGCAGCGGGTGCAGAATCTCTTGCTGCCCCCAGACCAGGATGACGACCCCTCAGGGTCGGCACTGAGGGGCGGCTAAGGACCGCCTTCCGCCTCTGACAGGGCTGAACTCAGTTCTGCGTGCCCTAGAGCGTGAGCCCGAACACCTCAGGGTGCTTGGAGATGCGAGGGGGCGAAAACTTTTGAAAGGTAGAAACTTGCCTTGGGTTGGGAATTGCAGTTCTGAACACTCACCGCAAGCCCCGGGTTTGAACCACTGCTCAGCCCCCTTAGCAGCTGTGTGCCCTCCTCAGTTCGGTCAGTTGTGGGATGTACTTTGAACCCGGCTATGGAAAACATAGGTTTCCAGGTCGAACAGACCTAGCAGAGTCTCTGCTTTGTGACTTTGAGCAAGTCCCTTAACCTCTGAGCCTCAGCATCTAGTTTTTGCCTGTTCCATATGGGGCTTGTGAGGGTCAAATGAAATCAAACAAGTTCATGAAAGTATCTTGCCTTACAGGAGGCTGTGTTCAGTAATGTTTAACAAATATTAACCACCACCATCACCCCTTCTCCAGCCGCTGCCGAGGGTCTGGGATGATCGAGGAGACCTAGACTGTTCAACAGGAGGCTTGTGGAGAGCCTCCTTGGACTCTTGGAGACTTGCTTCCCGCCTCCAGATTTTGCTGCCACAGGCACAGATAGGTTTCAGTTAAGATCAGCATTTGGGATTAGCTCACTCTGGCCCCCTCCTTGTACAAACTGATCACGGAACACCCGCCAATCAAACATGAGGCCCAGTCGGCCTTACTGTCTTCAAGTGCTTTCTCTACCCACCTTAATTTTGCCCTGGTGGTAGCAGTGGTGTGCTTCAGCATTCCACATCAAATGTGTGTGACCTTAGATGTGTCATTTTACCTTTCTGAGCCACATGTTGGATGTATGTAGTGAAGATATTCAAGTGCAAGTTCTCCAAACGCCCCTTTTGACTCTGAGATTCATTGATCGCCACACGTTTGTGCGTCGTTCAAAGCCGTTCAAAGCCCGTGGTGGTATAGAGCCAAGGTCAGCAAGTCATTGTTTGTGAAGAGTCACAGTAGTTACTCTTGCTTTCGCCAACCATATGGTTTGTTGTAACTACTCAACTTTCATGCAAAAGCAGCCACAGACCATATGCAGACACAGCGTGGCTGTGTTCCAGTTAAATTGTATTACAAAAACAGGCAGCTGCTCAATTTGTCATAATGGTGTAGGGCTTACATTCCAAGCCTTTTTACATACATCATTAGACCCTCTCAACCTTTCATCGCAGGTAGTATAGTTGTTACTATCCTTTTAAACCTAAGGAGACTGAGACTCGAGGTCTTCTTGATTTCACTTCAGCAGCTGTCATTGGTACCAGTCTCCTGGCCTCAGGGCATTGTGTTTGCTAAGTTTACCATTTTCTGCCATTCTTCTTAGGTGGAAACTGTTCTGGTTGCTGGATATGCCATTCAGGAAAGAGCATCTGATTCACAGAAGGAATGATGCTATATAAGCATAAAGTATGAAATAGCAATGAAACCAGGCAACCCATAATGTATATAGTCCCTTAAAACATTGGAAACATGATATTCTTTGCACTGAACATAAATCATTTTAACACTCAGAAAACTCTGCAATTTAAAAGAGAATGATATCTATGTGGTGGGTGCTCTCGGTAATAAATAAAAATATTTTAGCAACAATCTACTCATTATTCAGCCTCTCCCTTCCTCACAAATGTATTCTCAAACGTTGATAAGCACAATACGGTGTGGCAGTTGAATGGGTTATCTTTTCTTGAAGCTGCTGAAACAGGATATGACCTAAACAGGTAAATTCTAAGTAGCATGGAGTCCAGGGTTTTGTACATCTCACCATTTTCCTAGTATTTTATTGTACTGAGTATTTTCCTAAGATATGCCACTTCATCTAAAAACAGTTCAGACTTAGAATAAAAGGCTGCAAAAGGAAGGGGGGCAGTGCTTAAACCTGGATGAATTGTTTTCCAACCTTCTGTCGTAAAAAATTTAAAACATGCTGAACCACTGAAAA